CCCGTCGGCCGTCCCCCAGCCGGTTCAGCGTCGCTTGTCGAGCGCGAGAGCCCCGGCTGCCGGGAGGGGTGGTGGTGCCGGGGCAGGGTCTGCTCCGTGCCCGTTGGCACGTGGGGCTTCTTGCGCAGGAGGTGTCCTCGTGGTTCCGCGCTGGCCAGGCAGATCCTAGCGGGAGAGGTGGGATGCCTGTCCCAGGAGCCTGACTGTCTGACGGTAACAGAAAGGAGTATGTTTGGCGCCTGGGAGCACATCAGCCCTCCATCTGCTCGGTGCTTTATCTCCAACATTTGCCAGTTCTGGCTGGAATTTCCCAGAAGAATTGAGCAATAACTTAATTGATTCCACGGCAGTTAATTGGAGGACACCCCGTTATACCCACAGGGGGAGAGCCTTGAAAAAGCCTTTGAAAAATCTCTTTTTCCCAAAGTGTTTGCTGCAGCCACAGAAGCAAACTGTATTGTCCTCATCCTAATATCTTCTGATCCCAACTGATGATCACTTCTTCCCCTAAAGCCTGTGGTTTTGTAGTGCATAATCTTCCATTTTAGCTCACATAATTAGCCAGTGTAAGGAAAGAGAAGTTACAGGAGCGAACGAGGGTGGCCGTGCTGGTGCAGCACCGGTACCCAGTCTGTGAGAGCAGAAAAGGGAGAGTTAGGGACAACTTTTTTTTAATCTTCAGTTTTTGTGCCTGTAGTTAAACCATTGGAGGAAAAAAGTGCTGATCTCTCCTTCTGGAGAGCGGAGACCACATGTGAGGCATCTGATCCAACTCCAGTTTGTGCTAAAAATGGACATTGCGCAAGAAGGCTTTTTCAGGGGGAAAAAAAAAAAAAAAGAGGAAAGAAAGTCGAGTCTTATCACGTGGGCCTGAAGACTTGGGCATGTTACACAGCTAATTAATGGCGAGGAGCTCGGCAGTGCCGGCGTGCCGCCCTTCGTGGGGCGCCTGGCGGGGAGGTGCCCGTCACTGCCCGGGGTCGGTGGCGGGGCCGGTGGCCATCCTGCGGCTGGGGCGGTGCGGACGATGCTGGGGCGAGCCGTGAGCTGGCTTTCCCCAGCCGTGCGGCCCTGGCCCGTGTCATGGAGGGAGGAGGAAGGACAGGGGACGGATGGGAGCGGGTCTGCGGGGCGGTGGTGGCCCTCTGCATGGTAATGGGCCACCGGCTGAACCGGCACATCCATCCGCCCGGGGGTGGGTCCGCAGCGGGGGCTAACGGTGCACACTGGCGTTGCGGTCCTCGCCTTGCTTCACATGCTTGGCCTGGGGCCACGGCAGCGAATTTCCCATTTCTGAAAGGCAAACGGTTTCCCTTCTAGAGCGCAGTAAGGAGTTGGTTCCCACGCGGCTCCGCAGCGGGGGCGGGGGGGCCTGGTCAGAGGAGAAGCTGTGGTGCTGGAATGGGGAGGAGGGAGAGGGTCGCTCCGACAGAATCGTCCCGAGGTGCCCTTTGACTGCCCCAGACGGACACGAGCTCGGCTGTGCAAGGGGACGGGGGGGTCTTGCTCCGGATCAGCAGAGCTGGGACCTTCCCCGCCGCACGAATGAGCACGGGGCCGCGGCAGACGGATGGACGCACGGCACCTCCGTACGCGCGGCGGGCTGGTCTCAGCTCAGGCCTGTGATCTCAATACTAGTGATAGTCAGATGTGCCGGATCAAGCTCTGCTGCCTTCGGAGAGGCATTTCTTGGTTAAAAAAGCCGGCTGCCCGCCTGCCTGCAGCACTGGTCTGTCAGATGTGTGACGATGGGTCTGGTTCTCATTCCTGGGTTATCCCCATTAATCACAACGTCTATTTGAAACAGCTGCTGCAAAGGTCCCTGCCGCTGTGCAGTGGAAAAATTCCAAGTGCTTGTATTTTCCCTTGTAAGTCAGCGCTACATGCCTGAAACATTTGCTTTGTATTAATGCTCTGCCTAACAGCCCGTCCATTTGTGTTTTGGGGGAAAATGATTTGGAGGAGCTGTCTTCAACTGGGACGGAGCTGCAGGCTGCAGTCGCTAGCGGTCTGAACATGTGGGGGGCACCTGAGGGCGACGGAGCCGCCGCGCGGGCGGGGGGAGGCGCAGCGCGTGCAGGAGATCCGATGAAGACCTAGCGGGAGGCTTGCTGCTTGGGACCGGGGTCAGAGGAAGCTTGCAGCACTCGCACAGTCCATGTGGACTCTGCTTCTGCAGAGCCAAGTGGGAATCGTAGACAAGATGGCCCACATCCCTACTTTCCGCTACGGCTTTAGTGGAGCGCGCTGGGGAAAAGCCTTCCCCATGGGATGCCGTGGTAGCGTTGTGCCTGGCTGCTGACAGGCTCCGGGGACCGGGGGTTAAGGGAGAGTTAAGGTCCTGGAATTCAGCTTTTCGGTCTGGGTCCAAGCTTCCCCAAGTTTTGCACGTGGGGTGGAGCTGAGGTTTGGTTCTTCACCGAACGTACGTAGATAACCACCCCAGAATTCGCAGGCGCTTGGGGTAAGCAGACGTTTTCCGTGCTTTTCCCACCCTGGCCTCACCGAGACATTTGGGAAGTGGCTGTAACGTGTTCCTGGGAGGATATCTCTAATGGCTTGTCAGCCTTGTTAGTAGGGCAGCAACATCTGAATCCCGTCTGGGCTCTAAACCTTTTTTTCTTTCCCAAGCACATAAAGCCCAAGCCCTCCCATGCTCATCCTGCGTGAAGCAGTGCAAGCAATGCCAGCCTTAACTGCGCTTGCCATTGCTGCCGAGTTATTTCGGTGCCCTGGGTAGCTTTAAGAGCCCGTAACAGTTCAGTCAAAAATGAAAATGAAGTCTCATTAAAATACATTCACAATAGGAGGAAAAAAGGCCCCAGACTGTGTTTTTTTAAGTATTTTTTTGTCCTGAATCAGCACTGATCTCTTCTAGTTAAACTTCCTTTCTCCCACTAAAGTCCAAAGACAGTTTGATTCGTTTCCAGATGAGTTTTCCGAACAATGCGCGAGGTTTCCAAGTTTGCCATTTTATCTCCCGTCCCTGCCTGCCAGCCCTTCTTTCCCCTCTTTGAAATTTGCTGTCTGATTAGCACTTCTGCAGATTTCCATAACATCCCACAGTTCCTGAGCCTGAAAGCCAAAAAACCAAACAGAAATAGTCTCTCGCCGGTGGAGTGCTGACGTTGTTTCCCATGCAGCCAGTCCCAGGGCTGGTCGTGCTCGTGCACGCTGCGGTGCGTCCCAAACGCCTGTGGTCCTCAAACCGCTTCCCCGGTTGCCCCTTCCAGCGCAGCTTCAGAC